GACCCAATATTACACACCTAGGGGGAATCACGGGGTCAAACTCTCACCGACCGAAGCCCCAGCAGCTGCTAAGGTGAGTGAGGTCCACTGCAGAGATTCCTGTCTCCCACCGGACCGGAAGCCCCCTGGGTGTCTCCTCCAGGTGAGTGCTGGGGGGAGGGGAGGGGAAGGCTGCAAAGCACATGTGCCTTCTCCTCCCCTCCCCCCTCCTGACCTGCAACAGCCGCTGCTGCCTCTGCCTTAGGCCCCTGCCGGCCAGCGTCTCTCCCTGCCTAGCAGCAACAGCTGCTGCTTCTGGGAAAGCCACAGAGCTTTGCTTCAGGCAGAGACACTGCCCGATCTGCATGGGGCCCTCTTAGGGGCAGGGCCCAATTCAGGGGAATCGGTGGAATCGGCCTAAAGCCGGCCCTGGTAGTGACCTACTTTCAAATGGACATGGGAGGCTCAGAGCATTGCTGCCTGCAGAGTGCTTGGAAATCCACTGGGGAGGCCTGCTTCCCCTCTCTGCGAGACCAGATTCGCTTTGCTGTAACTGTATTGATTTCAATGGGTTTACACCGGCATAAAACTCGAGTGAAATAGAGGTGACTCAGGGCATCTGCTGCCCATGGAGCTGATGTCATGTGAGCTCTGGCTGGGGAATGAGAGCAGAATCTGCGATGTAAGGAGGCCTGGAGGGCAGAAAAGACTGGAGTTAAATTTAGCCCTTGGAGTGGAATTTCCATGAGTGCGCTGGGACTTTCCAGTCCCCTCGGGTCACCTCCTTACCTGACTGCACAGGAGGCACTCAACCGCCTGGGATTCTCCTCTTGGCTGCTCTGCCACGGGCCTGGGTCCTCGGCCGAACCCGCCCCGGGCCTGGGTCCTCGGCCGAACCCGCCCCGGGCCTGGGTCCTCGGCCGAACCCGCCCTGGATCTGGGCATTTGGCTGTACCTGCCTTTGGTCCTGGGCATTTGGCTGTACCTGCCCTGGGCCTGGTCCTCGGCCGTACCCGCCCTGGGCCTGGGTCCTCGGCTGTACCCGCCCGGGGCCTGGATCCTCGGCTGTACCCGCCCGGGGCCTGGATCCTCGGCTGTGTCT